AGCAGTGAATGCCTACTATGCAGCAGCCTTAATGGGTTTAGTATATGAAGATTCAGACTTGATGGCCACTGGTTCAACCCTCACAGCTCTGGAGATTCTTGCAGCTCAAACATGGTGGCATGTGGAAGAATCAAACAAAATGTATGAAGAAGAGTTTGTGAAGGAGAATAGGATTGTGGGGATCTTGTGGTCTAACAAGAGAGACAGTGCATTATGGTGGGCTTCTGCAGATTGCAGATCTTGCAGACTTCTGATTCAAGTTCTGCCAATAACGCCAATCACAGAAGTGTTATTCTCTAATGTGGGATACACGAAGGAGCTTGTGGAATGGACAGAGCCTGAGTTGAAAAATGCTGAAGAATCAAGGAAAGGGTTTGCTTTTGCATTGGAAGGGATCTATGATCAGGAAAATGCATTGAAGAAAATCAGAAAGTTGAAAGGTTTCGATGATGGGAATTCTTTGACCAATCTCCTTTGGTGGGTTCACAGCAGAGGAAACGGGAATCTTTACAAATATTAAAAACAGGGGACTCTCTGATTTTGCATTGGAAGGGATCTATGATCAGGAAAATGCATTGAAGAAAATCAGAAAGTTGAAAGGTTTCGATGATGGGAATTCTTTGACCAATCTCCTTTGGTGGGTTCACAGCAGAGGAAACGGGAATCTTTACAAATATTAAAAACAGGGGACTCTCTGATTTCATGTAATGTTGTTAGTTGTTTTTTTTGTTTGCTCATCATTTGGAAGCATTCGTTTCTGAATTCTTATGTCTGCTTTCCATTTCCACATTCAAAGGAAAATGTTAACTAATGTTTCTGATGTACTTTTTTTTTTATTTAATTGTGTAATCTTATTGGAATTTGAAATAATAATTAACAATAATAATTAGGTTTCTGGTTATTGCTAGATATATTCAAAGCTCTATCTAGCGGAAATGTTATCTGCTAAGAGAGGAAGAAAGTCCGAGTTATGTACTTTGTACAGTGAGCAAGAAGTCAATGGATTTACAGATATTATTGAATCTGATTCCGATCATTATTACATAATTTATTTTAAAATTTTATTGGCTTTATATATTTTATATATTTCTAGAAGGTGTAAAAGTCTAAAATTATTTGTTGAACTACGATCATACATGTAAGGGAAAGTCAACGCCGTAAAAGAAAATTAAAATGAGATATAATAATTCTGTAGATGGATAACAGTTTTTTTTATGCTCCTAATCCTAGATTAAAAAAAAAAGAGCTAGTATTCAATGATGTTAAAAAATATAAAATTATTTGTTGAACTACGATCATACATGTAAGGGAAAGTCAACGCTTTAAAAGAAAATTAAAATGAGATATAATAATTTTGTAGATGGATAAAATTTTTTATGCTCCTAATCCTAGATTAAAAAAAAAATCTAGTATTCAATGATGTTAAAAATTTAATATCTTTATTTTTTGAAAAATGTTTTTATTTTAAATACTAAACAAGGACTTAAAGAAGTAATCATAAATTCCACATCAAAATTCTTCTAAAGTCAATACCCAAAAAAAAATTCTACTAAAGTCATTTAGTTTTGTGTAACAAGAACATTCATCCTACAAGAACTACTCCCCTTTCAAGTCATTTAGTTAAGGATCAAAGTTAGGTTTTATTACCTATATACCACGTTTTGACTGTTTAAACACAAAATCTTAAATCGTAATATTTGTAACTGCTAAAAAAATTCCTACGAAAGTTACTGAAAATTGAGCTCGACAATACTTAAATTTGACTTAGTGAGATAGCCATATAAAAAAATCAAGTTTTATTTATTCATTTATTATAAATTTTAACTAAGTTAATGTTAAATCTTGAGGGTTTACCAGAAAAACAAAAGACACAAAAAATATTTATGAAAATACTTACAAATACACTGATAACAAATGTATAATTCAAAATTCACACTAATGTAATCAAGTGCGAATTAGCCCGTTTGGTTCATTGAATCATAAGTAATAGAATGTAATATAATAGGAGGGAATGTAATGTATTGTAAAGATGATTACAATAAGTTTGTTTGGTTTAATATTAGAAATCTGAAAAAGGTAATAATTTTTAAATTAATCTTAATAATTATAAAAACAAAAAGGACTAAAATATCCTTATCACATTTTTCTCTTACCCCCTTCCCTTCCATCATCGCCTCCCCCCTCTTTTTTTTTCATTGGTTGTTGCCATAACCAATGTCTAGAAACATAATCAAGGCAAAATGATTCAAAAAGCTAAAAACAAAAATGAAATCATTGGATGGAAGATAAAAGAGGGATCAGGACTACGGCAAAAAACGAGGTAGAGAGCTACTAAAGTTTATGTATATTGCCAGTCCTAAATGTCATTAATTTGTTTTGTTGCCTTCTGATCCAAATGAAAAGGGTCAAGTATTGCCATTATCTAATTGATTCATCGCTTAATGATTTGTAAGGCCAAAAAAGTTTGTTCAAATGAGTAACCACATCTTTCTTTTTTTTTCCTGCTACTATTTTACCCACTTTTTCTAGTCTTTTTGTTCATGGTTTTCACTTGAAGTTGTTTCCATGGTTTTCACTAAGAATTCAGGATGAGTTTTCAAGGTCTACATGGAAGACCCAAATATCTTGGTTCCTAAACTTAATCACCATTGCCGAGTGGGGAGGTTGATGGTGGTGGCAAAGTTCATGAATAGGAGGAGTTTAATGAGTGGCGGCACTCATTAGGGATGAAGCTATGACACCCATAATGATAAAGCTCAACAGTGGTAATGAAAATGGAGGAGAAGGGTAGTGGATGAAGAGATGCATGAGCAGGTGGTTGTGTGGTCAGGGAGACTATGGAGGAGGCGGGGGCAAAAAATGTCTTTTTACCATATTCCCACATGTTGTAATTCTTATTCACATATTCCACCAGTGTAATCCTGATTCTTGTAGTCCAACCAAACGTGCCATTAGTTTTGGATATATGTAAACCTTGTTAGATTTTTTTTTAATTATTTTTGGAAGTGTTCGTTTATGATTGCTTTCCACATAAAGAAAAGAAAAGAAAAGAAAAGAAAAGAGAAAGAGAAAGAGAAAGGAAAAAATTAAAAGGTTACGCAACGTTCCTGATGCATCATTGTAAAGCACTTGCAGGCTTACTCTTTATTTATTTAATTATGTAATCTTATTGGAATTTCAGATCATGTCTAATATTGGTAATAAAATTTCTGTTTTTGTTTTTAAAACTATGCTAAAATCTTAAATCCTTACAGCTTAGACTTAACTCATTTTTCTGCCCCAAATTTGCCGCCATCATTGCAATGTCCCTATTTACACTTATTTTTATTGTTTGGTTTCTAAGTGTCATTTTCCTAAAAGTCAATGCTATATTTATTTGATCATTATCTCCAATATTTATTTCAAAATTTTATCAGTCTAGTATATTTCTAGATGGTCCAAAACTATTTGTTGAACAATCCATGATTATGCATTCGTGGAGAATTCAATGTTTTCATTTTAAATAAAAAAGTTAAAAAATTTTTTATAAAAACTAAAAGTATTTTCTACCAACAGAGATAAATCTGACACAAAATATTAAAATTTTAAAGCACAGAGTAATCTATTCCCAGGCCATAACTCTATTTCTTCCAAGGCTTTAAAATTGAATTTCTCAATTATTTATTTAAAAGCTGGTAAAACAAAATACAGCGAAAGGATTTTGAGGTGATAAATTCATGCTGTTAGTAATTTGTTATTGAGATTTTTTTTGTGTGATTATATTCTTTTCTTAAGATCTTATAATAATTTTTCCTGAAGAAAATAAGTAATGAGGAGATAAATTTTGCAAAAGTAGGAAATTAAATTAAATGTGTAGAGAGTATCTTCCGTTCCTTAAATTGCAAACTTCTTTTGCTTTTGAGGAAAGTCAATTTGGTAATTCTCATTATCTTCATTAACCAAATGGTCATTATTTATCTTTTTAAATTATGAGGGTGTTTGGATTGTATAAAAAATATTTTTAAAAAGTATTTTTTTTTTAAATCTAGACAAATTCTTTTATATATTTATTTCGTATACTGTAAAAATATTTTTAAAATTATAGTTTTATTTTCACCAATATATGCCTATAATGAATATAAATCATTTTAAATTAACTTTATCTTTATCTTTTTGTCTTTACCTAAAATCTAGTCACCATAGCTCCAAAAGAGAGAGAATAACGGCATGCCTTTCTTGGACACCAACGTTCAGAAACCCAAGTTTCTTTCTTGAATTCATCAAACAAACACACATTCCCAGTCCAAGATTCCTTTATTATTATTCCCACTTTCATATTGCCATTATCTGATTGATTTTATACAGGAGATTTTTTAATTAAAGTATTAATTTATTTATTGTTCTGAAAAGCCAAATTAAAAAATAGTAGCAACGAAAGTTTTTCTTTTGTGAAGCACAAACTCTTCCTTCAAACAATTCGTTCAATTACACAAAACCTTTTCGGTTATCTAACTGTTGGAAAAGCACAGGAACGTTATTTTATGTAACCTAGTATTAACACCTGTTTTTTTATATATATATATATATATATATATATATCATATGACAATTTAATCCTTAAGCATATTGCTTAAAACTTCAACGCAAAGTATACTTTCTTTTGGGGGCAGGGGATCGAATATATACTCTATGAAATTATTTTCTTATTCCTCCTATTCTAAATGAAAAAGTTAGTTGATAAATTTGTTTTGGTTCTAAACAATAGTATAATACATATAAATAATTGACTTAATATATTTTTAATAATTATAAATTAGTTGCCTAGCTACTACGCCAATAGAGTGTCATATTTTGTTTTCATATACAGAACTATTCATTCATCAATCCCTTTCTTTTTGCATAGGTTTACTCTTCCACGGCATATAACCAATCTTTCATCCCCGCTTCCAACTAACTTAACCGTCAATTCCAATTCCAAACAAATCCAACCAAACCCACTTTTGTCTAACTTACCTACTAATATGCCAAGGTTCGGAAGAAAAATTGAAAAAGAAATCAGTAGATTCTTTGGAAGACGCAAAAAGTCCCCACCACCGCCACCACCTCCGCCGCCTCCTCCACCGCCACCGCCGCCACCACCGCCACCGCTGCCTCCTCCTCCTCCTCCTTCACCACCACCGCCACCGCCTTCTCCCCCGCCTCCTCCTTCATCACCACCAAAGCCTCAGAAGGTATTAAACACTCCATTTCTCTTCCCTCAAGTTCAATCCACAATTGTCCCTGATCCCTCCAAGTTCTTCGTCCCTAGCCTTCTTTCAACCCCACTTCCTACTAACTCCTTTTTCCAGAACTTCGTTCTCAACAATGTCGAACCTGAATACATTCATCCCTACATCATTAAACCCTGTCTCTCCTCCCTTTCTCTCTCCTACCCATCTCGCTCCTCCACCTCTACTTTTATTTCACAGATTTTCACCGCTGATCTCACCATCTCTGCCTCAGAGGTAACTGATCATCATTCCCAGAAGACGCATGTAATCTCTTCCTTCAGTGACCTTGGTGTCACTTTGGAATTTCCCTCCTCCAATATGCAATTCTTTCTTGTTAGAGGAAGTCCCTTTTTAACTGTAAATGTGACGAATCAAACAGTAATTTCAATTTCCACTGTTCATTCTATCCTTTCGCTTTCTTCCAATAATGCCTCGCTCACCAAATATACCCTTCAGCTCAGCAATGGTCAAACATGGCTTATATACACCTCATCACCCATTGGTTTGAACCACGATCCCTCAAAGATTACATCTGAAGAGTTTTCGGGGATAATCAGGATAGCTCTGTTGCCAGATTCGAATCCAAAACTTGAAACGATCCTTAATCAGTTCTGCTTTTGTTATCCTGTATCTGGGGATGCCACATTCAGAATGCCATTCTCTTTGGAATATAAATGGGAAAAGAGAGGTTGGGGAGATTTGTTAATGTTAGCCCACCCTCTTCATCTTCAACTTCTATCTGCTAATGACTGCGAAATTACTATTCTAAATGATTTCAAGTACAGAAGCATCGATGGTGAACTTGTTGGAGTCGTTGGAGACTCATGGGTATTGAAGACAAAGCCTGTTCCTATTACTTGGCATTCAACCAGAGAAATCAACCAAAATTCTTATGATGAGATTGTTTCAGCACTTTCTGAAGATATCGATGCTTTGAATAACCCATCAAGAACAAAAACAATACCACCATCTTGCTATTTTTCTGGGAAATCAATTGCAAGAGCAGCAAGGTTAGGTTTGATAGCTGAAGAAATGAGTTTTCCAGAAGCCATTCCTGCAGTAACCCAGTTCTTGAAAGAGACCATGGAGCCATGGTTGGATGGTACTTTTGATGAAAATGGCTTTTTATATGACACAAAATGGAAAGGAATCATCACAAAACAAGGCTCTAAAGATGCAGACGAAGATTTTGGTTTTGGAATTTACAATGATCACCATTACCATCTAGGATACTTTCTATATGGAATAGCAGTTCTTGCAAAGATTGATCCAGCCTGGGGAAGAAAGTACAGACCACAAGCTTATTCATTAATGGCAGATTTCATGAACTTGGGAAGAAAATCAAACTCAAACTATCCTCGATTAAGATGCTTTGATCTGTACAAGTTACACTCTTGGGCTGGAGGCTTATCTGAATTTGCAGATGGAAGAAACCAAGAGAGCACAAGTGAGGCCGTGAACGCATACTATTCAGCAGCATTAATGGGTTTAGCATATGGTGACACCAATCTGGTAGCCATTGGAGCAACATTAACAGCTCTTGAAATTCATGCAGCAAAAACATGGTGGCACGTGAAGAAGAAAGAGACAGCAGATTATAAGATGTTGTACGAGGAAGAAGAGTTTACAAAAGAGAACAGACTTGTCGGTGTTTTATGGGCCAACAAGAGAGACAGTGGACTCTGGTTTGCTCCTCCTCAATGGAGAGAATGCAGATTGGGGATTCAAGTTCTGCCATTATTGCCAATCACTGAGGTGTTGCTCTCTGATGTGGGATTTGTGAAGGACCTTGTTGAATGGACATTGCCTGGTTTGAGAAACAGGAAAGGTGTTGCAGAAGGTTGGAAAGGATTCGTTTATGCCATGGAAGGAGTTTATGATAAAGAAAGCGCATTGAAGAAGATTAGAAGCTTGAAAAGTTTTGATGACGGCAACTCATTCTCTAATTTGCTATGGTGGGTTCATAGCAGAGGTGATCGACCAGAAGAAGATGAGTATGGTCATGAAAAATATTCCTGGTTTGATCATTACTGTAATTAAGTTATTATGAGGATGATGATGTTGTGTTGTGTGTGATGTAAGATATTGGTTATTGTGTGACTCAATTGGCTGAAACATACGAGGGCTTAAGTTTTTTGTTTTTTTTTAGCTGAATATGAGGGCTTAAGTTGAAACGTTCATATTGGGCATTGGGCTATTGGGCCTCGTTAGCACACATTAAAAAAACAAAGTTTTGAATTCATAGTTTTGTTATTAATAATTAATTTTTTTGATAAAAGGACAAATTTAGTTAACCTAAATAAAACGATTACATGAAAAGGCTGACCCAAACATCTGAAATTGGAAAAGAACAAGAGAAGTAACAACAAAAAAAAACTAAAAACTAAAAACAGGAAAAAAAAAAAACATAGGAAAACATGTGCGATAATACATTCTACAACATCGAACCCATTTTGAGCAAGTTTGTATCGAACATGCAGGGGTTGGGAATTGTAATTCTTGCTCTAAATGAATGAACCGAAAAGCAATTCCTCCGAAAATAAAAACAAAGAAAGAAACTCCCGCAGAAGTTGGACCAAGCATGAGACAGAATTAATTGTCAACATGATGATGAACTTAGCAATTAAAGCTTCTGAGAAATCAGCTCGATATGATAACTTATGAAGAAGGGATTCATAGAAATAAAGTAGAAGTATCACCATCAAAATGCAGTTAATAAGTTTTACAAATTGAACTAAATTATATATTTCGCAATTAATTTTGATTTTATTATTATCATCTGATGTTAGCTTATACGACATATTATTTTATATATTTTGAGCTAATAATAGCTGTTATACTGAAGTTGTAATTTTAAAAAAAAAAATAGTTGCTAATGTTGTAAAAATACCATTTTTTTGAATTTTAAGAAAACTTGTTATTAAATGTTATACCCAAATTGTTAGTAGAATTACAGAACTTGTTAACGAATTATTGAAATTGTAAAAAAATACTATTTTTTGAATTTCTTAGAAAACTTGTTATTAATTGCTATTCTGAAGTTGTAAAAATACTACTTTTTGAATTTTTGAAAAACCTGTTGATAACTACCATATTAAACCTGTTGTTAATATCATGCTCCTTTTATCTAATATGATTATATTGGAACCAATTAATCTCTCATAATTCAGGCATGTCTCATTTTTATTTATACTAATTAGAGCATTTGCAGCTGGAATATGAGATCTAGTAATACTCACTTAATTAGGTCAGTAATAGCATTTGACAGATATTTTGTAATATCTCATGAATGCATTCTTTGATGAATTTCTAATTCATACCATCATATATTTGAGGATCTATACTTGATAATAATAATGCATTCTATATGTTGTCCTTTTCAGCTACTCAATCTCTTCTCCTCATGTTGGAAAAACTTTGTTGATGTTAAAAAAACTTTGTCAAATAACAATTCATTAATCATACCATATGAGTCTCCTAAATTCATTTGTTTCATTTAGAAACATCCTTTCATTTTATTTAGAAACAAGAAGGAGATTCTTTCTCAACATATATCCCAACTTTTTTTTTTAAATATCTATCTATATGCATGGCGGGGCTGATAGTAATAAATATTGCACATTTAAACTTCTAAGATCAAAATATTTGGCTCCTGACCAAAAGCCAATTTTTATTAGAAAAATTTGTTGGCTTGATATGTATAAGTGCTATAAAATGTCAAATCAAATATGCCAACACTGAAATAGAGATCTTGTTCTCAAAAGTATTGATCTAGCTACTTCTTGAGGCTTTAATAAATTATTTTGCTTGATCATTCTATTAAGCAGGCTTTTCAACAATTTCCTAATAAATATATGATAATCATTAAAAAGCTAAGATATGAACTCATTAGTGTTTGCAATAGAAATTTTCTAGATTGCACTTTTCTGGAAATATGCACTCAACATATATAATGTTTTACTCCATTATTCTTGCAAACTTCAAGTTGCACCATGATAATAACACATGTAACCATTTTATAGAAGTATCTATCAAATTTATTAAATACTTGTATGATTTACATGCTATCTGTATGAGCCCACATATTTGAATTTGATATATTTCCAGAAATATTGAGATCCATTCCCATCATACCTAGTGTGATATCAACATAATCAATTTTTCTTTAAGAACAAGAATGATATGAACTCTTGAATCATATAATATGTTGTTATTCATGAAGAATCTTCTGATTCTTCAATGGATGTCAATAATAATCATCAATAATTTGTTACATCATATATATGATTCATAATGATCAAACAAGACACACCAACTATAAATCTAATTGGGCAAGTAAACTTCTGGTTTACTGTAACAAATTTCTTATACAAGTAAAACTCTATCTAACATCAACTCATACTTGTATTAATTCAATTTGAAGTTTGATATAGATCAATAGGTCATATTTTTTACTATCAATTCTTCGTCTGCCCAAAAAAAAATTTACGTTAGTTCTTCAGGAACTATATTAATATTTTTACACATAGTTCTTCAGGAGCTATGTAATTTGAGAAGAATAAGGAGACAAATCCATCTTAATAAGATTGTAATACATAATACTCCTCGGTCCTTATTATAAGACCCAATTTGACTTTTTATTTGGTCCTAATTATAAGACCCAATCCATTTTGTCTCTTATATTTATGCATTTTTTTCCAAGATAATCCTTCTAATAATGATAGTTTTAGCCAATATACTTAATTAGCAAGGATATTTTAGGAATGACAACACTTATTTATTATAAATAACCAACTTAACTTACTTCCTTAATCTCCTCAAATAAGTCAATTGGGTCTTATAATTAGGACCGGAGGAGTAATAAATAGTTATGAGCATCATAAGTTTAACTTGTAATGTATATAGAATTTACACATACTGCAAAGATGATTTTGTCCAACCAATCAAAATTAATATCAATTATTTATAATAAATTTTCTCATAAAGTTAAATAACTTTCCATTCACTCAATTCAAATGCGACATTATATGATTTTTTGGCTCAAATGTTACAGTTAAAACTAATCTAATTTAGATATACAATTTTCTTTATGCTTTTTTAAAATGTATGAACTTAAAGAATTAAATAATATTTGAATTAATCCCATAATCATAATTTTTTAAACTATAATTATCATTTTCACGTGCTTAATTTATTCTTATAAACAAACTTATATAATTAAAAAGAAACAAATATGAAAGATCTTTTAAAATAAACTTTCTGAGAATGAAGTGTAAAATTGAACTATTGTCAAAACTTCTTAACATTAATATATATTATTTATTTAATTTGTAATACTCAAAATATAACTTTTGAAAAATTACTTACATGTTGTATGAATGCTTAACTTTCTTCTCAACTAATTTCTTATTTAGTTAAACTCAAAACAGTTTATAATGCTCATAATAAAATTTATTGTCAATAAATCACAATAAATCATTCAAACTAAGATCATACAAATAGCATATAAATAAACAAAATATGAACAATATATCATTTCTTTAATTTGTGCACAAATAGCATAATAAAGTACTAATATCATATATGATCATCTTTTTGGCTATTCTAGTGATATGAATAAATTATATTCACAATTCATATTCATAAATATGCAAGTAAATTGGCACAATAAATTAACATTCAAAGTGAGTATAACTACTTTTAATATTTATCAATATCTTAATATCAAATACTATAATAATATATTTCTACCAATCAATCACAAGAAATTTAAAATAATATTATATAACCTCCTGGATATAGCCTTCTGGGCTAATGATTATATTTTTCAACTTTGACTAATTTGAGCATATTTCTCTATAAGACATTACTTTAGGCATCATAACTACATTGTCATACTTTACATAATATCTCTTGATCTTTTGATTTTATAACCAATTTTAACACTTGCTTTCAATAGATTGGCACATATATTTGTTCATATGACTTTTGGTCATATTACGACATTTGCTCATAATTGTTTTTGACTATAGAGGTATCAATATTTCCTCAATTATGGTTCAATAGCTAAAATCAAAGATTATTGCCATTCAATTATTAATTCCAATAGTACAATGTAGGCATGCTCTTTATCACTCTTATAGACATGTTCTTTACTTTCAGTAGCATATAATCAATTTCTCCAAATATTAGTATTCGGGGCTATAGTAAAAATCTTTCAAATAAAGCTCTTTTATGCCATTTGATGTTAGAACTATTAGCCTTCGAGGCGTTGATATTTGTCACCATGTAACTGTCAGGGTTTGATATTTGTTACCATTAGATCATCAAAATGTCATAAATTTTTCTTGTTATGCCATTTAAGGCACTCATAGTGTCCTTTAATAGAAGAACAATTGAAAGAGTAATATGATTTCTAGTCATCTAATTACAGGATCAAAAGTATTATAACTTCTAGCCATTCAATAAAATGAGATTAAAATAATAAATAATAAAATAAATAAATAAATTCATTCATAATCAAATAAACAAATAAATCCAAATATAAATAACATTATATAATCATATATATAAACTGTAATAGATATAAAACAACATAATATAAACCAAACATATATGTGTGTAAACAAACAATAAAACAAGAAGTATGGAAAATAAATAAATAAATAAAACACAATATCACGATGAGGAGATAATAGAATTAAAATGTATAGAAAGAATAAATTAATAAATAACATAATATATAGCAAATGTATAGAAAATCAAAATTACAGATGATAATAGGATAAAAAGAATATTGAGTAAGGGAAAGTTAATAGAGAGTAATATACCATAAGAATACATTAATTACAAAGGTATACCTGAAATCTTCAAAGCAAACTCGTGCTGATAATGTGTTATGGAAATAAGGAAGTTAGAGAGCAGAAAGAGGATAGCAAGACACGAACTGGGAGAGAAACAAGGAGTATTTCTTATATAATATATGGGTACAAATGCCTTGTATATGGCTTCTTTTATAAGCCCCCAACCACAAAAGTCTA